ATTTATGTACGCTCCAATAGTTACCTAGAAGAAATGATATTTCTAACTTGGGAACAATTAGCAGAATAGAGCAATCATGCTTTTTTTTAAAAAACGATATCTACTGTGTTGAGAGGGACTGTCATGTTGTTCCAAGACTGGCAATTATAACCCAAACTAAGTATGAAGAAAAGTCAGATATACCATTTTCTGTAATAAGAGACAATCAAAAGAGAGGCACAAGTAGAGGGGCACAGTGCATGTGCATCCACCCCTGGCCTGGCCGAGTAAGATGCGGTTCAAAAAATTACCGGTTTCTCATGGAGAATAAGATGTCTGCCAGAAGTGGAACGAGCATCTCACTCCCTCGTTAAACATCTGCCGAGGTGGTTTTCTGTGATTATTCGAACATAAGGAAAAATGAGAGAGAGATGGCAGGGCAGGGAGCAGAGAGAGCTGCAGAGCAGCCCGCAGTCCTGTGCACGCGTTTCCTGCAGCTCAGTGGATGACTTGGAAAAGATTTGAGCTCTCTTTCTACTACCCCTTCTGTCCCACAAGGGAAAGAAAGCCAAGAAGCTAGAGTCTATAGCACGCACCTCTAGGACATAAGCTGAGGAAAAGTAGAAGAGTTTCTCGCTCACCAGTGATATACCGAGGCTCACCCCTGACTTCACACAGAGCATTTTCATGTCTCTGGGATAGCCAGCACTTGGTCATCTTCTTCATAAAGAACATTGATGATAATTAAAGTTACTCCAGAGAGTGGCAACAGCCCAGACAGAACAAGCCTGAGATGGTAAGACTGGAGATTCAAATCAGATGGGCCAGCTTCATTTGAATGGAACTTGAACACATCGGACAGAAATCAGATCTGCCCAAAACATCATTACAAGACAGGAACGAGAGATTCGAAATTGCATGGCTGGAGCCTGCAAAGCCTTGACGTGGAGTTTGTAATTTATTTACTTCACTAAACTTTTTCTTTTTTCCTTTCTCCTAAGCAATTTTTTATCACCTTTTTTTTTCTTTACAATTTTTTTTCTTTTACATTTTTTCTTACTAAGAAATTTGGTTAGGGTCTAAAATGCAGAGAATAACAGACACAAGCTTCTTTTCCTTCTAGGATGTCCCATCAAAGTTTTTCTAAGGCTGTCATGACTATGGTACTGGGTGCATGAAGGCTGAATATGCTCCTTTATTCAGGGGAAATACAGACTATGGGATTCTTTCAAATATCAAGCATATACTGTTATTGTGTAAACCATTTATTTTCTTATTAGAATATTTTATTTTCATATTCCTACCCTTTTTTCTTTATTATCCTATTAACATCTTTACAAACAGCTGTAGCTTTCAATTATTTTAAAATGAAAGTGGACATAAACCTGAAGAGGAAGGATTCTTTGCTATTCAGTTTTCAGTCAATATGGTAGAACGGCCTCATAAGGGTATGAGATAGACAAAAGACTGTACTTTATTACAGGTTAGTGTATACTTCAAGCTTAACAGTAAGTTAATACAGAAGCCAATTATTTTCCCCAAATATTTGTTTGATTGGTGTGAACACATCTTAAGTCTTCATTAAATGGCTTTTCATAATTTTCACTAAGCGTTCCATTCTGTGATTTTTGCCCCAAATATCTTTTGTGCTTTTACCACTGCTGTTCTTACCTAATTATAACATTCAGTTGGTATAATGTTAACTTCATTTTATGTCCATTAATGATTATGAAACTCAGTGAGGATTTTTTTTAACCTTAATTCTAATGGCAAATTCATCATAGGTAAAGTAATTTGTTAGATCTAAAAAAATTATTCTGGTAAAGGAGGAAGGAATTATATCATTAGAAAAGCAGCACATTTCATAATTGAGCATGAAGAACGTTGTTAGATTATTCTTTGTTCGTTTAACAAAACACTTATTAAGCATGTACTCTGTGTCAGAATGGATGTCACATCTTGGGGATGCAGTGGTAAATAAGACATGACCCCTTTCCTCATGGAACTTATTTCACAGGGAAGCAAGACACTACGAATTGATTAATACAATTTAATATTATAGTATTATGAAAGAGGAAGTGCACTACTGCAGAGCTGAGGAAGTCATGATTAAGCTGAGGGTCAAGGAATGAGTGGGCCATCGGGGACAGAGGAAACAGCGCTGTGAAAAAGCCTAGATACAGAGAGCCTCTTGTTCAGGGAAAATTAGAGACTGTTTATGGCTAGAGCGCATGAGCATAAGAAGACAGAAGTAATACAGGAAAACTGAAAGACAGTCAGAATAGGTCAGGAGGGCCTTGTAATGATGATTTGAAAAAAAAACCTTATAAAATGAAAAGAGGAAGCCCTATCAACATTTTTAATGGAAGAGCAACATGAGGTGATTTGAGATTGTGAAATTTGCTCTTGTTCCAGCACAATAAATGGATTGTAAGGGCATTCACTGGAGGCAAGGAGGTGATTTAGGACTGTTTTAAAAGTGTAAGAATTGATGCTAGAGAGAAAGGGATAAACAAATAGATGAGTTCAAGGGACACTCGAGTGATAGATCTAAAGGGTTTTCTTGCATAAAAAGTTTGGAAATATATTATCTATTTATTTATGTGGTTATTTCCCTGTCATTCAAAAACAACCTTGTATTAATTCTACCCAGATACGAAAAAGGGAGATAATAAGAAAAATAGACAATTTGGGTAAGATGGGAATTTGAAGACAAATGAAAGTCTCTTACAGGAAAAATGCCTTATTACCTATGAGAAACTTTTGTAGAAATCCTAACGAAACAAAATGCTGAAAAAACAATGCTTTCTGAGGTGAAATGTGCCAATATAAAATAGCGAGACAGCAAGCAAATGATTTAAGGAAATTCATCTGAACTGTTCTTGTGGGACCCCATTCATTTCTGTTCCCTTTCAAGTTACCTCATTGTATTCCTACTTCAGTTCCTGGAATTGGATTTATGATTCTCTTGAATAGCTTTTAGTGCCCTTGCATGACAGTCATTTGTCCCGTGCTGCCTTTGGGTCTCAAACAAACCGTGATGAATTACTGGCGCCTTTTCTTACAGTTCCAGCCCTTAAGATGGCTTCTGTTTTTGCCAAGTTCCATCTTGCCAAAGAGTAACGCAGTACACAACAAAGATAACTTTATTTTTGTTTGCCAAAGGAAGTTTCCTGCACCGGGGACGATCATTATTAGGACATAGTTAGACATAGCCAATGTGCATTCAATTGTGTTTTGTCAAAAGTGTTTTGTTTTATTTTGTTTTTCTATTTTGAAAAATATATTAACATTATGGAAGAAGAGGTGAGGTTTTAGAAGCATTTATTGTTCAATAGGTTGACGGGGCATATTGAAAGTGGCTCCAGAATTTAGCAACGAGGAAGATACAACAGTAAAATAAGAGTGGCAGCTAACATGTACTGAGTGCTTTCTGTGATTCCAGTCTCTTAAATGATTTCTTTGTGTTAGTTCATTATATTTAACCCAATGAAGCTGACACTGTTTTTCACAGAAGAGATAAGAATTGCTGAGAAGTTAAATAACTCACCGAAGATTGCAGAGTTGGGATTCAGATGAGACAATCAGAAGCATAAGAAGGACTGAGGAGCAAGTGGAACATGCCTTGAGAATATATGATTTTTTTAACTTCCTGACACTTTGAAAATGTTGATATATATGTTATCTCTCTAGTAATACTTTGGACAATATTCAGAGTTTAAAATGGCTTTTAAAATCCTAAACATGGTAGCTAGAACTTGTCATCTGCTTTCATCCATTACGAACCCATACAGATTATGATGAAATATTTTGATTTTTGTATATTTATCGTTTTTCTTCTAGGATGTCTATTTCTTATACTTGTAAAGTTCATAAGCTTTATTCAGCAAAAGTAAATGAATTTATTGTTAAAAAATGGGGCAAAAGAGATATTTATATCTTCATTATGAATTTCTCATAAATTGAATTTTTAATATTTTTCTAAGACCACTTAGTTAGGAGGGCCAAAGGAGAACATTCCAGAACAAAAGAAACATGGTAAACGTATTTTCTTTTTAAAATACTTTCGAGAATCTCTAATGGAGACTGTCGTTGTTAGCTCAGGATGCTATTACAAATTACCATACACTGGGTGATATAGAAACAACAGAAATTAATTTCTCACAGTCCTAGAGCCTAGTGGCCTGAGACCTAGGTGCCAGCATGGTAGGGTCCTGGTGAGGGTCCCACCTCTGGACTGCTGACTCCTTGTTGTCATGTCTTATGGTAGAAAAAGAGGTAGTTAGCTCTTTGGCTTATTTTAAATAAGGGGTCCACCGTCATAACCTAATTACCTCTCTAAGACCCCACTTCCAAATGCCACCCATTGGGATTAGGGTTTCAACATATGCATTTGGGGGGCACACAACATTCGCTCCACTGCAGAGACCCTTACTGTTATTACAAATTGTCTTTCCTTAACTGCTACACAAGTGGAAGAAAGCCATTGCTATGATATGTACAGAAATGAAGAATACATTTTCTATAATATCAAATTGATAAATTGAAACAGATATGTTTATAATTTTAAATACAAATAAAATATCTGCAGACGCAGAGCAGGTGTCATATATGAGATAAAGCTGGCCATATTATGGAGTCTATAACATACGTATTATATATAGGATGTGCATTACAGCACACTCGTACATAAAGAGAGGCTAAAAATCAGATGTTGTATCTCACTGATTCATGGTCAGAGTAAATGCTTTCATTAGCTGGATCATGAAAAAAAAAAAAACCCCACTTCTAGGAATCTGGCATTTCTAAAGCTTATAACATATAGTGCTAATTTCAAAACTTTTGTAGGGACTCTTGCGTATCATCATTCAGAGTTCAGAGTACCATGCAGATACTTCTTAAATTATGCTTGCCAGTTCTTACAGATGGGAAACAGTTGTATGACAACAACTGGTTTTTAACCACATTCATTGTGTTTTTCTTTGTGTGTGTGTGTGTATGTGTGTGTGCTTTTGTTGCAGAGAAGGCCAGCAATCACCAGAACAATGGCAGAAGATGTATGGTAGATGCTCGGGGAACGAAGTCTATCACATCATTTTGGAAGAAAGTACATTTTTTGCTGAATATGAAGGAAAGAGTTTTACATATGCCTCTTTCCATGCACACAAAAAGTATGTTTCTGCTTCCAGAGTGGAATTAAACTATCATTCAGTCAATGAATTCATTTAAACACAGTTTTCTAAAATGCAGCCCATATTGGTGGTCATGATTTTCAAGTTTTCTGAATGATTATTGAAACATTTGAATTCTGCCCTCTGTATAGTCTATATAAGATCATCAGGAGTAATTTATAATTTCATAGGAATTCTTGCTTTAGCAACTGTTAAACTCTCATTTGTAAATATTTTAGTCCATTATGAAATCACAGACAGATGGATTTATTTTCAAATATTTATCTGAGCTACTTATGTGAGTAAATGTGTTTGAAAAGAATTCACAAACACATGAAACTTAATTTTTTTTCTTTTTTTTTTCCTTTTTGTCTTTTTTTACTGACCGGCAACGGGATCGCAACCCTCGGTGTTGCGTCCGCACCGCGCTCAGCCAGTGAGAGGGAACCGGTCTCCACATGGGATCCGAACCCTCGGCAGGAGCGCCGCCGCACTCCCAAGCGGCGCGCTCTCCAGTGCGCCACCGGGCCGTCCTGAAACTTAATTTT